AGCGATTTGAAAGCATTTGTCAAGCAATACAAAGGAGGAAGTTTCAGATGTCCGGTGTGACTTTCAACGCGGACGGTCATAGAACAATCGGTAATATGTTTGTGTCTACCAGGCGTGCAAAAACTTCTCACAGTAAGTCGGTGAGACTTATGCCTGCTTCAAAGACCAAGAAAAGTCCTACGATATAGCATTTTTGTCAAAGATACTCAGAGAAATGCTTCAGTTTTTACGTAGGTGGCCAAGTACTGCGGCCACAAGGTTCCGGAAGGTAAAGTCGAAGGCAGTGCCCTGGCCAACGGCAGAAAATGCTCCTCTCAAAGTGAGCTCGGGATGATTCGGCTATTAGACTGGTAATTTTACTCTATAACAAAAGGAGCCAAATGAGATAGGAAGAACATACTTTGGTATCATAAATATAATTTTCACGAAGGTACTGACAAACAGATTTCACTAGAAACTTGACTGTTCACAGTCAAAGGAGCAAGCTGATTTTATGAGTGAATTTGATAAGTCAAATCACTCACGGCAATACAACGAATAGCTAAAACAAATAACGAATATCAAGTTTCTGGGTCAGTAGATTTCGCAAACACTTTTGATTCAGTGTATATCCGGCGTGGAATAGATTTACTGAAGTATCAGGCATTCGAGAAAAGATACAACGACCTAAATGTCTTGTTTTACAAGAAAGCAACCACTAATATGAAGTTTCACGAATGTACATATAAATTCATAATCGAAAAGAAAGTTTGATGGGGTTATGCCTATCACCAGAGTTGTTCACGGATTCCTTAAAAGGAGTTTCACCACACAGTCCTTCGATAAAATCAAGGAGAAAAGATAAGTGGAAAATTCTCAAGCTATTTTCGGTTAATGGACGATACTCTGATCCTCTCAAAGTCCCCATCAGAAATGGAGAAGAAAGGCCTCGAGCCGAAAAATGCCAGCATCAAAACAGGATTGAAAATGAGCCTGAAGAAGAAGAGGTCATGCTAAACAAACCTGACTCTACTACCTGGTGAGGTCAATGAACTTAGGCTCAAAGGTATGCAACGTTCGGACCATGAGGGAGTCTCTCTCTACAACAAAAAACAGACGTGAAATCAAC